TTTCCAGTGTAAAATGCTAAAAAAAAAATCACGCAAACAATGTGCACATGCGTGTTTGACAGTAAAATCGACGTAAAGTGGCCATGCTCGCGGCCCAAATTAGAGCAGAGAGTTTCTGTCGATTTAGGGTGAAAAATATGAGTATGATTGTTTGTTGTATAAATATAAGTTTCAGTGATAATGCCTTGACAATAACCGAGGTGGCATGATGAAAACTTCTATCTTGATGTAACATTGTTACGCGCCAACGTCACCGTCATGGTTGGTTGGAAACATTTTAAGTTCACTCTCTGACAACCAAAAAAACTTTTATTTGGTTGAAAAGTTGAAAACAATCTGTACAGCGCATGTTTTTGCCTTTTTATTCACTTATGCAATATTGAATTCAATTACTAAACCCACAGTAGCTTCCGTCAGCCATACCACGATTGCAAGAAATTTGTACTGACTGCAAATATGCAAAAACAATGTCTATAACTCTAATGCATCGTATGGTACAACAAAATTTTATCACAAAATTATCATCATCAACATGCACGTGTTCTTTTACTTTTTATCATTTCCCCTACGTGACGCCATACATTTCATAGTTGAATAGGTTTGACTAGCGATTTTAGTGCAAAGTAACCCAAATACACATCTGACCGATTTTCATAATTTTCGGTCACATAGTCAAAAATTTTTCCCATATTATGTTCTTATGCGTTTCTTTTTCCTTTCAGTATACATGTATACATACATCAAAACATTGAGATTTTTGTTATGTTTTTTTTTGTTTAGATTTTACTGCAGCATGGCTACACAGAGATTTCAGCTTGTGGTCGAAGGACAGACCAGCTCCAACATATTGCTTATATTGCAGGGTTAGTTTGAATTATCTTTATTAATTGAATAAAGTTTTGTTTGTAGAACACATCTTTAGTAAATCTTTGTGGGTACATGCAGGTACATGTACATGTTTTTGTTAATACATATCTATTAAATGGATTTAACCTTGTATCAAACGATAAAGGGAAAAGATTTGGTGAATTTCCACTTCATTAGAATCAAGCACAAGACATATTGTTATAGTACAAACACACTATATTTAGTTAAACCTACATAAACATATTAATTATTTTTCTAAACAGAGAAACAACATGCAGCCTAGCCAAGAAATTCAACTGCTATGTTTTTGAAGCCAGAACAAATGAGGAGGTAAGAATAGAAAATGCATCAATGTCGTGTTTTCTTCATGTATCCAAAATTTAAATCTACTCTGAGGGGAGGTCACTAATTGAATAATTCATCTTCTTCTTTTCAGGCTAAATTTGCTCTTTGTGCCATTGGTAAGTTAAAAATTAAACAAATAATTAATCAAGATAACACTAGACCTAACATGGCCAAAACAAATAAACAAGTCAATGAGATTGTTTCTGCTCTTACAGTATACTTATTAATTGATTATTTAATCTTTAATTTCAGCTCAAGGTTTTGAAAGAACACACCTGCTGTTGTGATCAAAGAAAGGCAACTGTGCTTCCACCCAAAAAATATATTTAATTTTTTTTTTACATTTTTGTTACTTGTTGGTAGATTTGGTTAAGGTTTATTGTTATATTTTGCCTATATTTATGCTTTATTTCTATCATTTTGTGAAAATGGTGCTTTTTGTTTTTTGTAATAAAAATACTTGATTTATTAACATGGTTAGGAGAATATGTTCCCTAGGAATTTAAAAGAAATAAAACCAATTTTTTTTCCTCTTTTTTGTAAAGGAATTTAATCTAGTTGTTCCTGATTTAGAGGTGCACATTTGCATATATCAAATAATTTGCTGTTATTGTTAATAAGAGGTATTTTGGAATAATTCCATAATTTCTTTAAAATTATTTGTACAATTTAATAGCAGTTCAAAAAATGAAAGTTTTATCCCATGTGATTATAAATGAAACTCATTTGAATTTATAATTGTGAGATTCATGGCTACTAAGTTTGGATGTAACTGTCATATGATTGAAGTATAAAAGACATGATGGATGTTTGTGAAATTTTCGAACAGCCCATGTTTATTTTAGCTTATATTACGCTGAATTTGTACTGTAGGCGTACTTTTTTCCACGGGGTCATGATTCCGCAGAATCTCCATTTCTGTTCAATCCATTGGTAGCATATTATGCGCATATCTTAAGACTCTCCTTATATGCCTTTTATATGCATTAAGTTCGATGTGACAAATTTGTAGCTGCATACATAGCGTAAATTAATATCACGCAGAAAAAAGTACTTCTACAGTATTTGGTAGAATATGTCCTCAAATACCTTGTAATAAAAATCAATGCAATACTCAAGTCACACAATTTCATATTGTTAAAAAAAAACAAACTATTTTATGATTCGTACAGAAAGAAATCTTTTGATAATTCATTTTTTTTACTCCTATATAGAAATTAATGACTGATGCATGAATTTCATGTTTCCATAGATGAAATAAATATGTATAAATATCTAAAAAGCTCTC